TGAAATGCCGTTTGGCTCGGAGCATAAGGAAAATCGCTTGCGAATCAGTTCAATACCACAACCAACCATGCGTGAGACCCACACGACCACTTTAGAAAGAAACGCAAATGAAAGCACCACCTTACAAATCGATGATAAAGAGCTCACTGAAGTGGCCGTGGTTCTGCGCAAGTTGATGAAAAGTAACGTAACACTCGAACAACTCGCTAAACTTCTCGGTGAAGATATTGACAATTCGACAAGTCATTCGTCTCAAATTGGTGCGCAACATTCCACGGAACGAATCAAAAACGATGGTCTCAAGAATGGTGCCACAAAAATGTTCCTGAAAAGTCCAACGAGTGCAAAACATTCATCGCAAACTCACTATATTAGTCGAGCAGAGATCAACGAGTCAATAGAACGATCGAATGGGATCAATCAAAATCAATTGAACAACGATCTTGGAAATGAATCAAAACGGCAACAGCAGCAAAATCTGGACAAGCTAGAACACTTCAAACCAGAGGAAACGTCGACTGAGATTGCAAGTCAAAACTCCATTTTAACGAATATCTCAGAGAGGTTGTTTTTGTTTTCCGAATATTGAACAGTTCATTCCCTGGAATTCATCGATTTCTATCCAATAGTAAGAATTGTTCAGTGCACAGGGCGAATTTTGTTTCCTTTGAACAGAATTTTCATCTCATTTGATGATTAAAAGTTAAAATCAATGGGCACAATGAAAACGTATGGAGAGTTTTATGCAGATGATTAGAAAGTTTGTGAACGAATGACAAGGATTTAATTGTTACAGTTTTCGAGAAGATGAACCGAGTAAGACCTCAAAGAAAGCAGAAGATGCTCACCACGAGAATCGGAAAGAAAACGTTCTTCTAGCGATGGACAGGTGATGCGGATCTTTGCACAGAATCAATTACCAAATCACTGTAATGTTCATCCACGACGTTCGTCACACTGCTTGCAATCACCCAGATTCACCTGCTACCAAATATCTGTGATAATTCGAAGAAATCACCACTTTCGAGTTGTTATATTGTTGTCAGCGTTATTTTCATTGATGTTGTTCTGTTCAGCGCACAATTGCTGACAGTACACCTTTAATAATTAGTCACTTCACACGATTCAATGTCATCTTTTCTTCATTGTATATATTGGTGATAATCCATTGATTCGGTTTTTCCGTTGTTGAATATTGAATGTTAATCGTTGATTCGATGAATGCTACAACGTTCGTTGCAAAACTTGTGTTGTGAAGCATACAAAAATGCCGTTTATCGCATGACACTGCATCGCATGATATTTTCAAAACACTTGATCACTCGAATGAAATGACGTTCAAGATGCATTGTGAGCAATGACACTCGACCAAATTTCATTTACTCTCAGCCACTGAAATCTCAGTTTCGTAGTTTATTGCTATGAGATTAATTATGAATCGAATACAGCATCGCAGATTAGAGCTGATACGCTGGGGCTAAGTT